TTACTTTTTCGTTTTGAGGTCCCTAGAGACCAAAACACCATCCGTTTAAATTCATATATATATATATTTATATATGAAATAATGAAATAATGAAATAATGACTTTATTCCCCAAATACAAGTTTTTTAAAATTACAAAACAAATTCACCTTGGAACTATGTTATCACAGTCTCCAGTATTTGTGACAACATGAAAGAAAAAACACAGTTATTTACAAGTAATAAAAAATTGTATGAGTCCAGTCCTTGTTGAAAGAAGTGATTAATAACCATGCCGCTCTCCGTGGCGCCGTTTGACACTTATATTAACTTATACATAAAAAATACAGTAAATATAAATAAAACTTCTCTATTGTTATAACAAAAAATCAAATAATTACCTTATAATAATGAGAACTTTGTTCGGTAAACCAAATACATTCATTACTAATTATGAATAACACAAACAAAATATGCAAGAAAAAAAAACAGATGGAATTGAAATAAAATTGAAAAGGCCATACAAAAATATTTTGTTAACTAAGAACCTGATTTAAAAAATCAATGACTGGAGTTTTGAAAAGCCAATATTTCAATTTTAAAGAAAACAAATTTAAGGATGAACAACTTCTGATATCTCCCGGTAATTGATTGAAATATTTAGGTCCGTTGTACTGATAAGAATGTCTGAAGAGCGATTTGTTTACTTTAGGTAATCTGAACATTCCTTGGTTGTGATTTCTAGTATTGTACAAAAGGTTACTTGTTCCTGTATTTCCACTTCGAACATAAAAAAGCCGTAAAACCTTGTAAATATATAAATGTTGAATCGGAAGTATTTTAAGTTCAAAAAATAACGGAAAGGAACTTTCTGTTATTTGGCATTTTGAAATTAATCTAATAAAATGATTTTGTGTGACTCTTAATTTATCAGTATGACATTTATAGGTACCCCCCCAACACTGGATGGCGTACTGTAATCTTGAATCAATTAAAGCAAAGTAAAGGGTTCGCAATAAAAATCTACTACAAATATTTTTTAAAAAATAAAAGGTTCTTATGGAGAATTTAATTTTTGAATGCAGGTTTGTCACATGTTTATCCCAATTTAAATTTTCGTCTAAAATGACCCCAAGATAGCGAAAATTGTTAACCTTTTCAATTTTTTTACATTTACAAGAATTAAAGGAACAGCCAAAAGTGTGGAAAACGAGATCATTTATAAAGTTAAAACTATGTACTAAATTAAAATTAATGTATTTGGTTTTTTCAACATTGACTTGCATTTTGTTTGCTGCACACCAGTTACTAAGCAAAATTAAGTCATCTTTAATTTTGTTGAAAGTTAAATCACTATTCTTTTCGGAATAAAAGAGGGCGACGTCATCGGCAAATGCACAGATTTGTCCATGAAAAGGAAGTGTGAGCAGATCGTTGATGAAGATAAGGAAAAGGGTATCAGATGTCACCGATCCCTGGGGGACTCCTGTCTTTACATGTAGCGGCGAGCTTAATCGGTTTAGGATCTTGGTTTGTTGTATTCTATTGGACAAAAAACTGCTGAACCAACTCAGCGCGGTTCCTCTTACGCCAGCTGCATTGAGTTTAGATAACAAAATATTATGGTCTACTAAGTCAAAAGCTTTTTTGAAATCAATGAATAAGCCTGTAGATTTATTTTTGCTGTTGAAACTGCTATAAATTTTTTCTGTTACGGTAATTAATGCGTCCTCGGTTGATTTTCCCTTTCTGAATCCAAATTGAAAATTGCTGAAAATTTTTAAATTGTCTAAGTATTTAATGAGTCTGTTTTTCATCAACTTTTCAATAACTTTAGAAAAAACAGAGAGCAAACTAATAGGTCTTAGATTATCTAATTTTAACGAAGAATGTTTTTTATAAATCGGAACAATTATGCTTTGTTTGAGTTTTTCTGGAAAAATCCCGGTCGAAAAGCTTAAATTAATTAAATGAACCAAAATGGGAGCAATACTTTCGGCAACAGTTTTTACAACTTGAACGGATATTTGATCAAACCCTGTGGACTTTTTGTTTTTTAAATTATTTAATGTAGAAAGAACTTCAGTGACAGTAGTGGGGGCTACAAAGAAGGAGTGAGGTTGGACTTGCAACGCAAGGGGCGGGGGAGGGAGTGGACCGCTGTCACCTTGGCCATGACTTTGCACTGCGATAAAGTAATTATTGATTTCTTCCGCAACCTGTTGTGGATCACTTACTATTGTACCATCTTCTAATTCTATCTTACTAACATTTTTACTATCTGAATTACCAATTATGTTATTTAAAACTTTCCAATACTGAGAAGAATCACCATTACACATATTTATTTTATTTTCCAAAAACGCACTCTTAGCTACATCCATGTCAGATCTTAACTTTTCACAGAAACGATAAAAATAGTTGTTAAAATGCATATCATAAGGTCTTTTCTTATGCAGTTTGTATAATTTGTTTCTTTTTGATATTCGATTTAGAATATTTGTATTAATCCAAGGACTCACTGACTTAGCCTTTTGAAATTTATTTTGTTTGACAACTAGCTTAGAATTACTTATAATATCTAAAAGTTTATCATGGAACGCATCATAAACATCATTAACATTGTTGGATAACAAACAAACATCCCAATTTTCAACTTCTAGATTCATTTTAAGCAAATCAAAATTGATAAGATCTCTTTGTATTACTGTATTATTAGAGGCATTTAATTCGTTTAACTTACTTAACTTATATGTGTCCGTTAGCGCGACAACTCGAGCAAAAATCAGCCGATTTTGATGAAATTTGGTACAAACGTGTAAACCTACGTTTATTCGAATGAGTTCACGAACCAGCATGATCAGACTATGGGAACAGGGGCTTATGGGGTTTTATGGGGCAGAAATTGGTTTTTCCCACTTTTGACCCTAAAAACTTTAAATTTAGCATTTTCTTTCCAAACCATTTTACAGAGGTTAAAAAACAAATAATTTAGTGCATTGAAGCGTTATTATGCGCCTAATGGTTACGGAGAAAATTCCAAAATACTGTATATTTAAAATTCCCATGTTATTCTTATGGAGAATAAGTAAACTGATGTAGTTTGCTTGTTTATGATCATATTTTGATCGAATTTGGAAAATGTATTCATTTCATACTAAACTACTAACATTTTACAAAAAACACCTTTTTACCCTCCCTGTTGTAGCAAACCTAAGTACTCGTAAAACTAATGTTATTTAAACAGGGAATAAATGTGATATTTTTAAGGAGACATTTTAGTGTAAATCCAATCAGGCAAATGGTAATTCGCGAAGTCTGCAAGTTTGCTGCGGCGGGGGTATTTTTGTAATTTGTTGGTACCGTACATAGACGAGGGTTTGTTTATTTTAGATGTGACTAATAAATAATATTAAATAGCAAAAAAAAAAGAGAAAATCAAGGCAAAGAGTTGGTGTGCTCCGCGCAGCACTGTGGTGATGCCAGCGACATCCATCGCACAACACGAGAACTACTTGGGCGATGTTGTTCATAAAGAACATTGTAATTAAGTTTAAATTTAACAACGATTCAACTTATTTATATCTTTTATAACAGCTAAATTTAGCTTGGAGGCAACTGAGAATTATTCATTGGGTTTTGTTCCTTTGACCATTGACTTTAGATATTGCGACTAGACCTATCGTCCTATTGTAAAGTATGAAGACTTTTGTGGTGTATGTTTTATGTTTGACGTTTAAGTTAGTTATAATTTATCTTAAAATTATAAGATCCTAAATTTTAAGGGGGACGTGCCCTTTATTCTTTGGTTGTAAAACACGAGTATAAGTTATTGTTATATTTGGTTGTAATAATTAATTATTTAGTTAGTAACATAAATGTAATGGTAAATAATAACTTGAATTACACATATAAAAGACAGAAACTAGCTTAAACATCTAGTTTCTGTATAAACTATAAACTGAATAAACTTCTGTAAAGTTTTCCACAGAACTGTCTTTATCTTGTGTAAAATAATAATAAGGGCAATTTTTAGTTTACCTAGTCTATATGGGAAAATGTCAACTCTATGGCTATGTTAATCAGGTACTGTATAACATGCATCTTAATTGTTAATAATTAACAATTATCAATACCAATAAATTATCAATAATTGAGATGGGACAGCTAATAAGCATTTGTATTTTACATAATTTCTTGCTATACCAAATTTCAAATTATTTATGTAAAACCATATATATCCAAATGTCAACTACATATTTTATTCTTTTCGAGGGAAATTTTACAGGGTGAAAATACCAATACCAAATTACCAGTTGACTCCTGGTTGGCCAGAATAGTTTTAGAGTTGATAAAAAACAACATAATAGGATAAAAGGTGCACTTTATCAACCGGAAGAAAACATGCATAATATTGTCCTCAATTGATCAATAGAAACAAAAAGTCTGTAAGTGGTTAGGTTCAATCACGAAATTTAAATCATTGGAGTTGATTTCTCATTTCATTGTTACACCTGGGGCCAGGGTTGGCATGTTTTAGGCATACCTTAGTGGCTTTCACTGGGATTACGTCGATTAGGTATTCTTATCTTTGTTTTTGGGTATGTTTTAGATTTGTGCCTTATGTTATAGTCATAATACCAGAGGGTCCAAAGAGCAAGCAATGTTAAACTGGTTTTATAAGTGTTATATACGAAGAACATATACGTTAGTAGGCCTAAACAACAAAGCACCCTTTGAATAAAACGGAAAAAGTAGTGTTAAAAGCCTTTATATGTTTAATCTGTGGTTTGATCAATATTGGAAAGATGATAATTATTTAATCATTAATTTTTTTATGCCGTCTATAGTTGAGGGTTACTGTTATGTCTTCAATTCAATAGAATCCATAGTTAATAATAGAACAAATATGGTGACTTATTTACTCTCAAATACAAAATTGCTTCTATGAAATTCTAATTTATCTGTAAATTTATTTAACCAATATTTTACCTTGAAATTGGCCTCAGGCGATAATTAAAAATGACGCATCATAACCAACTCCAGTCATCTCTGGATAAAATCAGTAAATGGTGTGATGAAAACGCTATGGAGTTGAATGTTGCCAAGTGCCTCACGATGTTCTTCAGTCGCAGTACTGTAGTGCACCCTTACAACTACAGCATAAACGGTGCCATCCTGAAAGTGGTTGATATGGTCAAAGATTTGGGCGTCATAACTACTCCTACCCTCAGTCCCTATGAGCATATCAGCCAAATAGCAAAAAGGGCTTCATCACTTCTTGGCTTCATTTTTCGAACAACAAAAGACCTCAAGAACCCTCTCACACTTATAATCCTCTACAAGACTTTGGTACGTCCCGTGATGGAATACTGCTCTGTTGTCTGGTCTCCTTATCAGTCTTTGCACATCGATATACTAGATAAGATACAAAGAAGATTTATTAGACTGATTGGTCTTAGACTGGGGTACCACTTTCAGGATGTTCCTATTATCACCCTGGAGCAATACTATGATCTGCAACCACTCAGTCTAAGAAGGAAATGTTACGACCTGCAGTTTCTCTTCAAACTCGTGAACGGTATCATCGACTGCACATCTTTGCTGAATAATATAGAATTCTCTGCCCCTAAAGGAACCAGATCCAAAACGTTATTTGCTAGAGGATTCCAAGCAAGGAATTACTCCTACCATCATGGGTTGTCAAGGTTGTTGAGGATGGGTGGAGAGGCTTCGACTCACATTGACTTCTTCGGGATTTCTTCTTCCTCATTCAAGAGAGACGCCTCAAGATATTTACAAGGGAGAACATCTTAGAAGCATTTTCCTGCCCTCCTGTGGGAACAAGTGATGTGTAGTTCTTGTTTAGGTGGTGCCTTTAAAGGGCCACACCTTAGTTCTGTTTTGAGGCTGGTGTTACCTCAGCAAGGTGCAGTGCAATATAGGTGGTGCCTTTAAAGGGCCACAAATGAAAGTTGGTGCTTTTTAGCATGGTGTTTGGTGTTTGACACAGTGTTCTTCCCATGTCATGCATGCACACACACACACATACTCCCACAAATTATACTTTTGTTAATACTTTTGTAATATTTTACTGTCTTTTGTTATTATTTTCACAGTTTATAATTTGTTATCTTTGTTGCCATAGTCTATTTTGTTGGTCTTATTTAATCGTTGTTGTTATTGCCAGTTGTAAAGTTACCGTCATTACTGCTTGTTACTTGTTACCATTATTACTAGGCATAGTCTTCTTGTTGTTATTTATTGTAGTTTTCAGGTCCCACTCATGTATTTATTGTCAGCTTCCTTATTTATTATTATTGCACGATTTTTGCACATACACACACACTCCCACAAATTATACTTTTTTAGTACTTCTGTAATATTTTGCTGTCTTTTGTTATTATTTTCACAGTTTATAATTTGTTATCTTTGTTGCCATAGTCTATTTTGTTGGTCTTATTTAATCGTTGTTGTTATTGCCTGTTGTAAAGTTACCGTCATTACTGCTTGTTACTTGTTACCATTATTACTAGGCATAGTCTTCTTGTTGTTATTTATTGTAGTTTTTAGGTCTCACTCATGTATTTATTGCCAGCTTCCTTATTTATTATTACTAGAGGTCGTCCAGTGGTCGAAACTCGACCAAAGATTTGTAATGTACAGACTTCTCTATTTTCACCCCATACTGTAAATAAAACATGTGATTGGAGTTTCTTCAATTTGTTTTGATTTTCTGTTTATATTTTGTTGTTATTTCGTCACCAGCATAGAAACCCATAAAGCCCATGTTAATTTTTTTCAAATTTCAAATTCATTTTTTGTGCTTATTTCTGAGCCTATTTTAATTTTTAAAGGGATTCTGCACACCTACGGAAAAATATCTTTCTAACAGTATGCGAAGATTTTTCCTGCGATGCACATGAGCTGAGAAAAAAGGTTTTAAAGAAACATGCTTGCCTATTAATATATAGATAGATAGATTGCACGATCTTTGTAACCACTTATATTAACTTATTATTTGCTACTTATGTATAGTTCATAGTTTGACAAAATTGTATTAATGGAGAAACCGTTGGAATAAATAAATAAATAAATAAGGGAGTATGAGACAATGTTTTATATTTATATTTTAACCTCGGGTAGTTCTAAAGAGTATGCCTGGTATTCAAATTGTAAATTACAACTGACGATTGAATCAGTCTCTAGCCTCGCACCCTACGCCTTTTTGTTGCCAGATTTGTCCGGTTAGGCTAAAATAGCCAACCACGTGATAGAAAACAGACGCACGTGGTTTTCGCATAGCAGATTTTTGTTGCTGAAATGGTTTGCTCTCAAAATATTAACAACTTTCTACGTATGCTATGAAATAGACGTACGAAGTAGCTACACAATTCTGAAACAGAGAAGTGATTTGGTAAATAGAACCAGAACAAGAAACACTTTATTCAATTTCATGATGGGCAGCCTCTGGACCATACAGCAACAATAATAATGGTTTAATTTACCTCAGTCAATATGGTCCTTGCGTAGTTTGTCACTACTGCAGTTTCGTGCTCGTGGAGCACATCTTCAGGTGAAGGTCACAAAAAGTTAAAAAAATTTCCTCACGTGAAGGTCGTCAATTTTTGAAAACACACCGAAAATAGTAGTTTACGCAACGATTGCGTAAAGACTATTAACGCGAGTTGCGTACACTACTTTACCTACGACCGTTTTTTAATTACTACAAATCTGGTTTTTTATTACTAACAATCACTACTCATAAGAGAGAGGTTATTTTTTCGTTTATTGTCATTGTCACTGAAAGTGATGCAACGACTTATTGTATAATCAGCTGATTTCATGTAATTACGTGTTTGTAAAACTTTGTTAAATAATACGTTACTTTTTCAGGCAATAGGTTCTGCTAGCAGCATGCTTACCATAAATACTGTATCATGTACAATTAGGGAAATATTGCATATATTTTTGGACAACTGAATAATATAGTGAAACAGTTAATTTACAGTTAGATCTCAGCATCGAATATGTGGTCCACAACGAGTTGGGTGAAAAAGTGGTTAAGAGGTTTTCAAAATAAACCAGAAGAACATTTTCATTTATCAATTTAACCTTATTTTGTTTCGTCAATTTAATGAATTGCTGGAATGTAATTTCATACATTTGTTTCGATTTTGGTGGCAAAAGATTAGCACAAACAGTTTGTGCTCTCATTTCTATCTCGTCAATATCACTTTCACTAACTGATATTTTAAAATCAACCTTCATTTAACTTACACCAACTTAGGTTAAGAATACGCGAGTATCAACAGGAACAAGCCGGATCAACAATTAAAATTGTCAACTGATCAGCTGATTAGTTGACGTTCGAAGTATTACAATATTGTACTTCTTTTCTCTCAATCCTTGAACCACATTGGTCCGTTACCTGTGTTGATATGAGAAAAACTATGCTGATATGAAATGAAACTATGCTGATATGAAAGTAAACTGCTGTTAAGTGAAACTTTTCAATTCTAAGAACTGAACTGAAATGGCTACTTTAAAAAACGGTCGTAGGTAAAACACATAACAGTGTAACATGTGTAATGAGATATTCCACTCATATGTGTATATGAGATAACATTCTAATGAGATATTTGTGATAATATACTGTTAGCCAGTATCAGTTGTTTTAGTACATTTTAAATCCGCCTGAGTAGTGTATTCTTGCTTGGTGTTGTGAGGTGCTGGCATCTTGCGGGAAAACGCAAAACTGCGTGTGGCGATGGTTTGAGGAGTATTACTGGGTATGGGTAAAGGTAGAGACAAGGAACAATTAGTTTATGCAGCATATTTATTCATCACTACAATTTATACATTATACAATAATTTTGCAAAGCGTTAAGTAATTTTTAGATACGATGACAATCATAATCTACTCACACACAGGTTTGTTAGTTAATATAGATTACCGCATAATAGCCAATGATAATAGTATACTATCGTAAACATTGCAGCGTAGATTCGAAACAGCTAACTCATTTGAATAAAAAAAAAAACAAATAGCTTGTTATTTTCAATAAAACTGTTTTATATTGAACGGATTGTGAACGATTTATTTCTTTTGTTTACATACGTAAGTTCAAATTAATATCAATGAATAAAAGTTTCTTTTATCACATCCTAAAAGTGAGTCGTCTATGTATTTTATCATAGCTATTCAACTAGCCTGCTTGAATTGTAAAACAACAACTTTTAATATGTTGTACGCGTAGTTATATGTCGACCAGTATTAGTACAAAAATGGCCGTAATATTGATAATATACTTTTTGTAAATTAAAATTTAACTCTTAAACGTCATTTAAAAAATAAACCTAAAAAGTAAAAGTGAGTATGTATGAATTCGCATCATTAGTTGTTTTGTTTGTTTTCAAAGGCGATGAAGACAGTAGAAAAGCTTGTATGCAACATAACACTTCATGAATCGTCTCGATGTATTTTTTACACATAGTCTAGTATTATGATTGATATTAAACGTTTAAAATCGTAGCTACTATTTATTCTTTGGAGGTGAAAATAGTAGTTTACGCAACGATTGCGTTAAGTTAGTCTTTACGACACAAGTAGAAAATTTAAGGCACTCGCCAAGGCTCGTGCCTTAAAAACTTCTACGAGTGTCGTAAAGACTATTAACGCAAGTTGCGTACACTACTTTACCTACGACCGTTTTTTAATTACTATCAATCTGGATTTAATTACTAACAATCACTACTGATAACTTTTTAGAGAGGTTATGGTTTCGTGTATTGTCATTGCCACTGAAAGTGATGCAACGACTTGTTGTATAATCAGCTGATTTCCTGTAATTACGTGTTTGTTAAACTTCGTTAAATATTACATTGCTAGCAGCATTCTTACCATAAATAATATTGTATCAGGTACAATTCGGCAAATATTTCATTTATTTTTGGACTTCCACCAACTTAATTAAGAATACGCGAGTATCAACATGAACAAGTCGGATCAACAATTAAATTGGTCAACTGATCAGCTGATCAGCTGATTAGTTGACGTTCGAAGCATTACAATTTTAATTCTTTTCTCTCAATACTTGAACCTCATTGGTCCGTTACCTGTGTGGATATGAGAAAACTATGCGGATATGAAATGAAACTATGCGGATATGAAAGTAAACAGCTGTAAAGTGAAACTTTTCAATTCTAAGAACTGGACTGAAATGGCTACTTTAAAAAACGGTCGTAGTTAAAAGCCATTTATTTAATATACTGGCATATTGATTTCTTATTCTTATTGACCTGCTAAGACATAGCCAAAAGTATGCCTGGTAACGCTTGAGTGCATTAATGTTTTCTATTGGATTCTTGCTACTATATTTTACTAACATTCAAATTGCTTCTGCCATTCAGAACGATCATTTTGTAGAGTAATGATTGTAACCTGGGGCCTATTGCATAAAACTACAAGTACAAGTTTACATATTTACAGTTTACAGGTCCCTGTAATTACAATTTATCAATTACAGGTGTTGCTAGAATAATTTGTATACTTGTAAGAACAAGTACAAAAAATGTTAACAGCTGATTACAATTTTACAATAAAATTACACATACATCTTCGAATTTCCCATATAGGGAATAAGCCTAGGTCTTATAGGTCTCATAAGTCTAGGTCTTATGGTAAGACCTAGACCCGGGAACGATTTACTTTTTCGATTTGATGCCAAAAACACCATCCGACCAAATTCATATATATTTGTGTGTGTGTGTGTCCGTTATGTGTGTGGTGCTAAAGGTACCAAATGCAATTTTCC